AATACACAAAAGTATCAAAACTTTATATAATTGCATAAAAGCCCCACAAGGACCCTAATTGAGTAGGGTGGCCGGCCATTTGAAACAAAGTGTATAAAAATTTCAAAGTTTTTTGTAAGTGGGGTGTGTGTAATGGAATAAATCATTACACACCAACCCACTAAAATTTCTTTAATTTTTGAAAATAAATATCTAATATATTTAAACATAAGAAATATTTCAAAACAAAAACTTTATGAAATAAATCAAAACTTTGAATCAAAACACCAAACCTTTTGTTCTTGGCAAGAACATATCAAGAACAATGAAGAACATTCATGAAAACCCATAAGAGCTCCATGAACATTCTTCACCCAAAAACATACCAAAACCACTCAAACTTAAGGGAAATGACATACAACCATACTAGGGTACATAGGGGTTCCAAAAGTCACTTTAAAACACTTTTAACAAGTCAAACAAGAACCCAAAAATCCACCATTTGGATTTGGCCGAATTTCCCCAAAAACATGGCACCAAATTTTAGCTCCAAAATTCATGCTCATATGAACTACATCTACAACATTTGAGATGGCAAATTTTCTAACAAAATTTACATTCAAAAAAGCAAGAATAAAGCTTGTAACAATTACAACATTCAAATCACAAACTATGAACTACAAAACCCAAAAGGATTCACCAACTACTAGACTTAGGCTCTTGATACCACTTGAAGGAAAATTTGTGAAAAACATGTTCATTTAAGCAACATCAATAGCATGCAATTAACAATTAAAGGCGGAATCATGCTTGTATGCACTTAAAACAAAACATTTACCCATGAAATTCAAAGCCTAGTAGATAGGTGAACTAAGACTCAACTCAAAACAAAGTGAGTTGAGAAATCAATACCTTTGTAGATTCCTCTTTGCATAAGCAAAGACTAATCACCCAAAGAGAGGGCCTTCATTCCTTGCATCTTAGATCCATGGATTTGGATGGATGAAAAGGTTTCTCCAAGTTCCCAAAATTGAGAACCTCTAATTATTCATCACCAAGGCATAATGAAGAAGAAATGAGTGACCTTGGAGGAGTTTGATTGCTAGATGATCCCTCCAAGGTTGGCCAAAATTTTAGAGAGAAAGGAGAGCTTGTGTTCTCATCCTTTCCCCCAAAAATAACCATTAGTAAATTTTAGGCTATAAAGTCCTTTATATAGTCCCTTCAAATAAGTGACCTAATGGACCAAAAGCCCTATTCTTTTACACATGGCCGGCCTATAGGTTTATTGGGCTTTCAAGCCCTTTGTTTTATTCAAGTTGTCATACAACTTGAGTTAATGGGCTTGACATTCAAATCCCATTGGGCCTTGCGGCCCAAAACTAACCCGAGGTCTTTAACGAACTTATTCGTTTGATTAATTAACATATTAATTAATCCTAGCCTTAGATAAATAATTAAACCATTTAATTATTCTTACTCTTCTCCGTTGTTTCTTCAAACTCTACCTTACTCGGTGAACGATCTATTAGGTTCCTTTTAGCGAGGCAGTGGGCGATTAAAACTCTTTCTAATCGATTGTGAATTGAAACTTACTTTCAATTCTCCCGTTAGTGATAATACACTTTTAGGGCTTCCACAAACCATGGTTGACGCCTAGCAGCATGTCATGGTTACCCAAGCTAATCAGAAGAGGTGGAGAACCTATTCAGTTTAGGATTACAAATGCAATACGGTATTTCTCTAATACAATACTCTTGACCATATTGTTTGGTTTGATAGTTTATTCATGTCTACTATCCAATGTGAATCTTGTACTTATATGATTACCTTGAATGTGATCTGGAACGCATTCCAACATCTCATTCATACTCTGGCCAGAGATTCTAAATCATATCATAGAGTATTCTCCCTCAAACAGTTTGAAGGTTAGAGATCCCTTGTTGTGCATTCACTTGCCTCCATGGCTAAGTGGCTTAACCTCAACGATGCCATGGACACCCTCATGATGGAGTGACTTTGACATAATCAAAGATTAAGGACCTAACCACAAGACAACTGTGATGCCTCAGGTCAAAGGACTACTTTGCATTATCCCAACCATGAGTTCTCATGTGACATGAATATGAGAACTCCTCGTTGATCGTGTTCAGTGAACTCATTCTCTATTGAGCACCTACATGCTTGTCTTGGTGTCACTCACACCAATGACTCGAGACTAGTCACTCTCCCTGAGAGAAGACACAGCACGTACTGATCTTAACGGACTGTCAATGCCCAATTGGCAATCCTATGATCAGGAACGTTTAGGATGTGTCTACGAAAGAATGGTCTCATGAATCTAACTTATTTAGATCGCATTCTCCCAATCACATATTCCTTGGACTTATCGTTTAAGCATATAACATTTATATGAGACGGCTCAAACAATAATGTTTGCCCTTAATATTAAACTAGATTAGTTTAACATGTGAAATGTCCATAAAGTATCATCATATGATTGGTTTTAGGGCACATTTCCAACACGAACGTCAAGTCCATTGACTTAAGTTGTATGACAACTTAATGAATAATGATTCACAAAGGCCCAAATAGCCCAATGAATACCCTAAGGCCGGCCATTTAGAGAAAGAGTGGGTTTTGGACTTATTTACAAGTTTGTCACTCAAATGAATTAAGGTATAAGTGTGACTTAATAGCCAAAATTCATTAAGGGTTGTTTATGGGGAAATTGGAGAAACAAAAACTCTCCTTTCTCTCTAGAAATGGCCAGCCACCCTTGAGGAAAACATCTAGCAATCTTACTTCCTCAAGGTCACTCATTTCTTCTCCAATCTTACCTTGGTGTGGAGACTTAGAGGTTCTCAATTTTGGGAACTTGGAGAAACCTTTTCATCCATCCAAATCCATGGATCTAAGATGCAAGGAATGAAGGCCCTCTCTTTGGGTGATTAGCCTTTGCTTATGCAAAGAGGAATCTACAAAGGTATTGATTTCTCAACTCACTTTGTTTTGAGTTGAGTCTTGGTTCACCTATCTACTAGGCTTTGAAGTTCATGGGTTAAGTTTTGTTTTTGAGTGCATATAAACATGATTCCGCCTTTTAATTGTTAATTGCATGTTGTTGATGTTGCTCAAATGAACTTGTTTTTTTCATAAATCTTCCTTCAAGGACTATTCTTTGAAGAAGTATGGTTCTTTCTCAAATTGTTCCAGAGCATCATGTGATCCTTCATCGCCTTAATCCTTCTTTGTAAATATGAGAAGGAAAAAAAAGCTGCATAACATATTAGTGAAAACTAATTGCACTGTATGAGGTTAAAATTGTGTTCTTTGCTATATTTACAAATTGAATGAACTCACGCAGGTTCTGCACTAAGAAAGGAGAGAGAAATCAAAACCTTATTATAATATTGTGGCTTTTATTGTGATGGAAGGGATCATCACAGTAGCAAATCCAGTGGGATTACACACACACACACACACATATAGATAGTATTAACATAGAAAGGAAAATGTCGCAGTTCCTACCAAATTAAAGAAAAGAAGTAAACTAATGATAATAAAAATGGATTAAAACATAAATCGGCAACACCTTTTTCGTTCAATGTGATAGTATTGATGCAATACAGAAAGGTTGGAAATGAAGTGATTAAGGTTGTCAATATAAATAACACGAATAATTAGACTGAAATGAAGATAATGAACAATGTTATGAAGAGGGGGCATTTTAAAGGTTGATTGGCTAATTAGGGTTGTTTTAACTCTCTTCAAGAGGTTTCAACCTGCACTTGCTTTGCAAGGGCTAGATGCATGATCCATTAATCCTCACAGAGATTCGCAACTAAATGTGGCTTTATTATTTTGTCATCATCTCCACTATCTTCTTGAGGACTGCTTTTGCTGCTTCATATGTCAGAAACATGATATTCTTTTAACTCCTATCAACAAAACTAAAGCATAACTTATAGAACTTTAAGAACTATCGGGAGGAAAGTCTGAGACATACCTGTAGGAATTACCCACCCACAGAGGGATTGCAATTCGTTTAGTTTCATCTTCCCTCGCAAATTGCTCGTTTCTTTTATGATGTTGTGTTTGAGAATAGTGTAGTATGAAGGGGGAGAGAAGCAGTTTTTCAGTTCTCCATTGAAAATGTGTTTCATATTTCTGCGGTCTCATACTCCTGTTAAATGCCCTTAGTTGTGTTAATTTCTTTTTTTTTTTTCTCTCTCTATATTTATTTGCTTTGTTTTTATTAAAGTGCTCATTTTTGTTTTTATTAAAATGTTGTATTTTAGGGCCTTAAAAGAAAATCAGGAACTGGATGCACTTTTTTCTTTGTTTTACTTTTTAACCGCAAAACTGATAAATAATTTTATAGGATAACTATACAACAGGATCCTTTTCGGATCCTCTTTGTGAGAATCCTGAGGATTCGTGAATTGTATCTGTTCATCGTAAATGTGCGGTTAGTTTTTGTCAAATACTATTTGTGTTTAATTTTAAATAAACAAATTTAATATAATTTCTGACCGCACGATGTATGATGAACGAACACAATTGAAGAATTCCTAAGATCCTCACAAAAAGATCCGGATTCGATAACTATAATGCTTTTGTTTTTTTTTTTTTTTTAATTTATTCTTTTCCAATACAGATTGTTTTGTTCGGTTATGGTGTTTTTTTTTTTTTTTTTTTTTTTACACCAATTTGTCCTAGTTTTTTGAACTTTTGAAGGTTTGATTGTGAAGAAAAAAAGGGACTTTCTTGGTATTTTGAAATACTTCATCTATTTGGTCTTCTCTCTTTGTATATATAGAATAGATGATATAAATAAACGGTAACTGTATCACCATTCGAGAGAAAATCAAAACATGTGGCATAGTGTTATTTGTTCGAGATGCTACGGTTCGGATGTAGCTAGGTCCCTTTCTAGACCTACACGTGGCATCTTGTTATTTGTTTGGAGTGCCAACTCACAGTGCCTGATTTAAACAATTTATTAACAAGGGTACAATTTCATTCATCCGCTCGGCTCTCTGTGTGCGGTGTCTGTTTTGGGTGACAAGTGACATTGCAGTCCCAACAATGGCTGAGAAGGGTAAGGAGAAAGAATCGGATCCATTTCTGTACGAGAGTGAAGACGAAGAAGATGACATTGAGGAGAACAAGAGCGAGAGTGGGAGCAGCTCCACCAGCAGCCATGGCGTCCGTCATGAGGTTTCCTCTCCCGTTAGTTTTTCTTCTCACAAATGGCCTCAGAGTTACAGGTATATATTATATATTATATGTTTATATATACATCTTCCTTTCATTGTTTTTCACTCAAGCCTTCATTCACCTGATTGATTCCCTTCGATATCCTAGAAAATTTTCATGAAAAGTTATGTTGATTCATGTTCTGCATAAAATTTAATTACCAAGATGTTCTGTTTTTTGTGTGATAAGAGTATGAATCCCAACATCCGGGAGAGAAGGGACCTTGCATGTGCTTATACAGAGTTAGGATACTTCCCCACATTGCCTATTGATTTTACGGCGTAACCTCAACTTTTTTAATTGCGTCTCGAAAATTAAACGCAGAAGATACAGAAAACAAAAACATGGGTCAGCAAGTGACAGATTAATTAGTTAATTATGTGTTTGAGAAGGAGACACATTATAGCCGTACACTATTACCCCATCATAGAAGCAACGGATTTTGTGTGCTCATAGACTGCAGTACCAATAAAGCAGCTGCTCCTTGTATTGTTTCATGGCTAAATCGGTCCACCGTTACTGTAATGGAGTAAGTATTGAACAACTGAGGTTACTAAAGATGATATATAGCTTACTACACATACATTCTCTCCATACAGTCGTCCTAGATCATAGGTGTCATTAAGTTCTCAATGAGGCATGCTAACTAAACTAATTAGACGCATTTTTAATTTGTTTTCGAAACTAGTTGTTATGTAATATTTTATTAGACGTATTTTCTTTTGAAGTTTATATGCTTGACTGCTCGTTTTTTATCGTTATGTACTTTATGTTATTTTGGGCAGGGAGACAATCGATTCTTACTCAATTGCAGCATCACCCAATATTGCGAATCTCGGATTTGTTCCAAGTAATGCAAGCTTTACAAATTACTCGAAAAGCATTTTAGACCTGATTGGAAGGTCTCCATTCGTGTCTACCAACGAAGGTTTTCCTCAAAAGGGTGATTCGGAAAGGTTCTCAGTAAACCAATCATTATTATCAGAGAGATCGACACTGCATAAGCATCTGACCGGAGAAATAGCTGTTGGTCATGGGTGTAGCTTCACTCAAACTGTCTTCAATGGTATGCTATTTGATTTAAATTTAAACATCTGGTCTGAGTTGTTCACTTCCCCCAATCCTCGCAAAGCGGGGTGGGGTCGCCCTTTTTCTTATCTTAGTTGTTCACTTCATGTATGATATAAGTTATTGATGTTGGTGAATGGTGTTTCCTTTGATTGATATGATACTTTTCCTCCAATATTAGAAAAATGTATGTGGGAGAAACTTTTTATGTACTTATTTATTTGCTTCAATTTATATGATTCTGCTTACTAATATACTATAATTAGAAAGCAAAGGTTGTATGTAATAGTAATGCATGGATCAATTTGGTTTCTGCATTCTGTAGGTCTAAACGTTTGTATCGTGGCTGTATTTGCTTGAATTCATTGTGTCACATCTTTCTGGACAGGAATTAATGTAATGGCAGGAGTTGGGCTTCTTTCAACACCTTCTACATTGAAAGAAGCTGGCTGGGCAGGTATCGTGGTGCTACTTCTTTTTGCAGTTGTGTGTTGTTACACGGCCATACTCATGAGATACTGCTTTGAGAGTAAAGAAGGCATCAAAACTTACCCGGATTTAGGAGAAGCTGCCTTTGGAAGATATGGGCGTCTTTTCATATCTGTAAGTTTAAACTTTTTGGCACTATATATGGTTTGACTGATCAGAAAATGAAACCAAGCTAGTTCTGTAAGTTGCAACTTCCGTATCAGTTATTTGCAGTACTTTAACAGTCTAATTAGCATGTTTGGTTGCCAATTTGATGGTTTCACTCTTCGCATTTCCTGTCAGTCAATTCCTCATACCGGATGTTATGCATCTCTGAACTTTATTGATCTACAAATTCAATGTATTTTCTGGATGATTTTATTAAATCTTCCATGTCAGTTATTTTTTTTAAAATTTTTTTATACAGTATTCTCTAATATCTTTGGTCTTTTGATATCGATGCAGATCATTTTGTATGCAGAACTATACGTAAGTGAAATATTGATTCTAGTTTTACATTGTACTTGAACCTTAAGTGGTTTATTCTCAAAAAGATTTCTTCTCCATATATGCAGTCTTATTGTGTAGAATTCATCATTTTGGAAGGAGATAATCTCAGCAGGCTATTCCCAGGAACATCTTTGAATTGGGCTGGTTTTCAGCTGGACTCCATGCACTTATTTGGAATAGTAACTGCCCTCATTGTTCTGCCAAGTGTTTGGTTGAAAGATCTTCGTCTTATTTCATTCCTTTCAGGTGTCGCAAACTTCTTCTTTTAAACGCCATGATGCTTCCATGTTTTGAAAATATGAAAGAGTTCATATGCAATGCAATCAACTGAATCCATTGTTGGTTCCTTTTGCAGCTGGTGGGGTCATTGTCACAGTTTTGATTGTTCTATGCGTGATTTTACTTGGTACAGCTGGTGGGGTTGGGTTCCATCACACCCCGCCAGCAGTGCACTGGAATGGAATTCCACTTGTAATTGGTGTGTATGGGTTTTGCTTTGCCGGGCATACTGTCTTTCCAAATATATACCAATCCATGGCAGACAGACGACAATTTAGCAAGGCACTAATAATATGGTATAAATATGAATTCTTTTCAACTTTGTGCATTCACCTTCCTTGACCTTGATTCTTATGCCTTGCATTTTTCTCATGCAGCTTTATCTTGTGCGTTCTGTTATATGGGAGTGTTGCAGTCATGGGATATCTCATGTTTGGTGAACGCACTCTGTCACAGATTACTTTGAATATGCCACCACATGCTTTTCTGTCCCAAGTTGCACTGTGGACAACAGTAAGTGTGAAATTGTGGATTCTCAATTAATAATGGGATATTTGTGTGTTTTACGGTTCACTGAGCTTGTTTTTGTCGCTTTTTAACAGGTTATCAACCCGTTGAGCAAATATCCTTTGAACAAATATGTGTGTGTATGAGTGTGTGCATTACTTCTGAAAATTCTGTGGATATTCTGATCATTCTGTGGTTACTTCTTATATTTGCTTCTTTGCTTCCTTGACATTGAGCAAATATGCCCTGTTGATGAACCCGTTAGCAAGGAGTATTGAGGAGCTGCTGCCAGTTACAATTTCTAACAGTTCCTGGTGTTTCATTCTTTTAAGAACAGCACTCGTCATTTCTACTGTTGTTTCCGCCTTTCTTATCCCGTTCTTTGGTAAGTTTACGCTTCAAGCAGTTGCTTTACTCCTTTAAGCTAGGTCACTGCAGAACTGACCACTTGAGCCCTATAATGAAATGGCTATAATCTTCAAAGCCTAGCAATTAACTTCCATAACGTAATTTTATCCACTATATATTTCACCGTGTCTTACCACAGTTATGAGTTCAAGGAGTTTATCAGAAAGTTTGCTCATGATAACTAATAGAAAAGGAGAATAGGGCCTGATACTATTTAATGCATTTATAATTAGTATGCGCATATTCGTTAACTTCCTGTCAATCAGAATGTAAACCTAACCACCTCAGTCGCACTTTTCTTATTTCAGGTCTTGTGATGGCTTTGATAGGCTCTCTACTCAGTATTCTTGTGGTAAAATGACACCTCTATTCAGCAATTACATAGTTGTAGTTCATAAAATGGCACAATACGTATAAGTAGTTAAAGTCGACAATGGCATTACTAATCATGAAATCTAACCACCGAAGTACAACCGAGCTACCATATGCATGTTTACGAGTGATCACCATGTGCATTACTGGTGTGCACCTAGAGCACCAATTTATGTGAATTACAATTTTGGCCGTCATAGGAAGCTTATTGAACACAATTAGATCCAGGATGCTGCATATTTTAGTGTCAAAAACCGAAACCAATTAGTGCAGTTAACGGGTTACACTTGCCAAAGGCCAATGATCTTTTACTACTCTAACTACGTTCAGGAATAAACCAAATCATGTAAATAACATAGTTGATGATTGAAAGTTTTACCAGATGGCTCTTCTGAAACCTACTTTTCTCCAAGGAAAGATAAATTTATTGAATCTGCCGTAAATTACTGAGGATGAATGCGAGGAATTGTCGGGACTTACACAACTATTCCAGGCAGAAGATCTTTAGGCAACGGAGTTTGATAAGGCCATACTTGTCCTTTTTCTGTATGTGTAAATTGCATGGTCTGTGGTAGCCTGCAAACTGTGATATAAATCACTTGTGAGCGCTCAACATATGCGAACAGCTCTTATTGTCGTCCATTCTGTTTGTTCCTGTTCTTTTCTTTTCGTTTTTCTTTTCATGTTGATATAAAATAATTGCAAAGACATCAAAATTAATCAATTTGATTTGTGTGGTCTTGGTTGCAGTCAGTAATAGTTCCATCACTATGCTTTCTGAGAATAGCTGGAAGGAAAGCTACAAGGACACAGGTTAGGGAGTTCTCTGAATACCTTATACGATCTATTAACAACATTTTTGCATACGCAGCTGTAACAAAGAGCAGTATGTGACAAGTTTTGGTTCACTCTTCTTCTTATTCAGGTTGTTTCGAGTATCACGATTTCCACTTTGGGCATCATTGCTGCAGCCCTGGGTACATATTCTGCACTGTCAAAAATTGTGAATCACTATTGAAATATTCAAGGCATTCGTTCGACAGTTCAATAATACTGGTGCATCGCTGGTTCAGCGGCTTATGCATTCTTCCGTTAATCTTAGATTCATATGTATGTGTAGAAATATAATTGGATGATTTCATTGATGTATAATAGTACATTTATATACACAATCATGACTAGGCATTTACAACAAAACCTATGCCCACAAGACACGCAAACCTAGCCTAGTACATAGGAGAATCCGGATTCTAACATCCCCCCGCAAACTCGACCAGTCTGGGAGAGATGAGTTTGGAACGCAGGAGTAGAAAGCGTTGCTTGAAGAGGCCTTTGGTAAGAACATCAGCGGGCTGATCAACGGATGGAATGAAAAGAACCTTATGACTGCCAAGTTTGACACGCTTGCTGACAAATTGGTAGTCTAACTCAATGTGTTTGGTCCACGCATGAAATACACGATTGGTTGCCAATGTAGGTAGTGCTCAGATTATCGCAATAAACAAATATGGATGGTGATGCAAGATGGCGAAGTTCACACGAGACAGGAGCCAAATGGACTCGGCACATGCATGAGTACTCGGATTCGGCACTAGAACGGGAGACAGCTGGCTGCTTAGCTAAGCTCCAAGAGATGAGATTAGGTTCATGAAAAAGCAGGTAGCTGGAAGTGGAACGATGAGTGTCCGGACAACGAGCCCACTCAACATCAGAATAATCAGAGAGTGACAGGTCCAAGGAACGTCGAAACACAATACCAAGGTCTAGAGAGCCTTTGTTGCAGTGCAAAATACGTTTGGCAGCAATAAGATGTGCATTGGTAGGCCTTGACATAAACTGAGCAATATGATTAACAGCAAGGCGATGTCGGAACGTGTCATGATGAGATACTGGAGTGCGCCAAGTGAGTGCCGAAATTCAGTGGAAGCAATGGGAATCGAGCAGGGTTTACAAAAACACATTCCATGGAGTGAGATGTCACTTTGTTAGTGGTGTAAGCCCTTAAATATGGGTAACAAGCAAAATCAAATGGACAGGAATAGGGACTAGACCAACCCAAGACCAAAGAAAAGGGAAGATTAATAAGAAGGGTGGCTGTTAGGGCAGCCTCCATCCAAAGGGAGAGTGGAGTATTGGAGGCAATGAGGAAGAGACGGGTTATGGTGGAGATGTGGTGATGCTTACGATCTGCCAAACCATTCTGTTGGGTCTTATGGGGCACGAGACACTATGAATAATGCCATTAGTGGCATAAAATGTTTGAAAGAGGTACTCAGTTCTACCATCGTTTTGGAAGAATTTAATAGTCGTCATAAAAATATTTTTAATCTTGAGGCAAAAGGTGCGAAAGTGATGAAAAACTTCATTCTTGTGATGCATTGGAAAAATCCATGAATAACGACTATAGTCGTTAGTAAATAACATATAATATTTGAACCTAGACATAGATTCATTATAAGTTATCCATACATTAGAGTGTACTAAGTAAGTAAAAAGGAGAATGGTGCCACAACTTTATTCGAAGGAAAAAGGTAGCTTGTGCGGCTTAGCCTACACACATGCTTACAAATAGACGAACTAGATGAAGACTCGAACTTTATAAGACATCAGCGGACGGATGGCCAAGGCGCAAATGCCACAAATGGTAGGTGGCAGCAGAGAGAGCTATGGGCGAGGTGGTGGTAGAGGTGACAGAAGAAAGAGCATCCCTACAGTGGCCCTGAAAAAGAGGCGAACCAAGGGCAAGGTCAATGATAAGAGAACCAGTGAGGCAAAAATGTAAGGGCAACCGAGTTATCATGAGTAAACTTGAACGCACAAATGAGTTTCTATGAAGGCGAGGAACAAGTAAAACATCATTCAAACAAAAAGTAGACGAACCAATAGGGAGGACATCTCCACTACCAAAAATAACAGAAGCATTACCATGATAGGGCGTGGGATCCTAGAGAGCACTGTCACTGTTTGTCATATGATGCATTGCGCCAATATTGAATAACCAAATAGGATTAGGAGCAGCGGTATTGTGGATATATGATGGACCAGCAAACAGTGTCAGAGAGGATACAGGCCTATGGTTATACGCAGTCACATGATGACCAGACGTGTTACAAAACGTGCACCAGAATCTAGAAGGGCCGCTAAGGACACAGGCACGGTGGTTAGGAGAGGGGCCCTAATAGTGGTTGGACCAGACACCACGACCCCCACCAGGGCCGCGGCCGCCGCAACTACCACGACCAAAGACACCTCGGTTGCTAAAGAAACCATCACGACTAGGATTCGCACGATTGTGAGGACGAGCCGGAGCAAGATCAAGTGACTGAGCTTGAACCTGGTAAGCCGTTGGTTGAACTGGAGCAGGAGAAGGGTGAGGCTGGGCCGGTGGTGCAGGCCATGAACAACAAGCATCACTTGAGTAGCAAGATGAGTACATTAATTAAATGGTGTTAGGCTTCATAGGTTAGCAAGCACGAACAATGGTCAGAAAACTCCAAAACAAATAGGCGAAGTTCAGGACCGCGATGACGAACCTTGCATAGTCAGGACCAAGGCCTTTAAGAACAACGGTGTCAAGATCAGTTGGGACCGGCAAACTTATGGCAGCAAGAGCATCAGCGAGAGACTTGGCATGTTGAAGATATTAAGAGGTGTTGCGAGTGCCCTTGGAAAGACCAAGCACCTGACGTTAACCTATGAAGTGGCAGAGAGTCCATAGAGAGTTTTATTTTGAGAATCTCCTTAGCATTTCTCACGAAAATATTTATGTTGGATTTTTAAAATCTGAAAGACCAACTTGATGTTCTAAATAAACAACCTAATGTGAAATCATTGATACCTAATTAATTACCTACAACTGCAATAACAACGTGGACGGCGGTACAATAAGAAGCCGCCTAAAATATATGGTACGTTCAGCAATGACAAAAAAAATAAACATTATAAACAAAGACGGGTGAAAAATAAATTGGTCGTGAACTTGTCATTTTTTATATTCCATCAGAAGACCCTTCGTATACAAGTAAAGTAGAGTACCACTCGACTATTATAATAAGTGGCAACACGTTAAAATATTAGATAGCAAGAATCTAGGGATTTTTTTTTTTATATAGTGTTATTCATACACCTATTTTTACCTCTTATACAAATTTGTTAATTTTTTATCATTGATCTTCTTCAATTTATTCGGTTTGACAGTCGAAAATTAAAAAATGTGTTTGAGAAATAAAAAAGGAGTTTTAATGAAAAGGGCTTGGGCCAACAAATATTTAACCAAAAATCATCCCAAAATGTTATTTAACCAAAAGGACTCAAAGTTTAATAAAAAACCATCTAAAACTATTGTCTACGGGTCAAACTTACAAGTCCAACCTACTACAAATCTACATTTTCATAAATACCCCTAAATGATTTGATATTGTCTTAACTCTTCACCAACCTCAACCCAGCACGAAATCGCCATAATAACTCCATGTCTTCCTATCAAATCGAATTCCCTCATTTCAAAAATAACCAATTCAAAGCTCAAATCAAAGTTGAAAAATGAAGCATTCATCGGAATAAGGCCGCCGAAACAAGTTCAAAAAAGTTTAATAGTAAAAACCGACAAAAGTGTTTGGAAAAAAAAAAAAAGATCCAAAACATAAAATTGTTTTTGGAGAACCCAAAACATAACAATGTTTCTGGAAAAAAAAAAAATCAAATACAGTGTTTGTTTTGTCTGTGCACAAACAAACATTGTATCTAAAACGAAAAGAACCAAAATCTAGAAACAATGACTTAAATTCCAGAAACAATGACTTAAATTTTAGAAACAATGACTTAGATTCCAGAAACAATGATTTAGATTCCAGAAACAGTGTATGTTTTAACCTTTGACTGTTTCTTTTCTTTCATGCATCAGTTAATTATATTTAAGAAATATGGTGCTTATTTTGCTTTGAATTCAAATACAGTGAATTTCACTATTTATTTTCTAGCTTTCATTTCAGAAACAGTGTGTCTATTTCATTTGAATCCAAAAACAGTGACTTAGATTCCATAAACAGTAACTTAGATTCCAGAAACAGTGATTTAGATTCTAGAAATAATGTTACTTAAAATCCAGAAAAAGCTTATTTTTACAGTCTAGAAATAATGTTACTTAAAATCCATATTCATACTCTCCGAGCGTTAACTTTCTCTCTACTAGAGCTCTCCCTCACTCCCTCTGGTGCACCGTGAACAACCACCATCTCCATCACAAATCCTGGAACAATCTCGTCCCTAAATCACAAATCTAGAATCCAGGAAGTCTGGGAAACACAATGGTATCGTTGAATGCTAGAATCGCGGTCTGGAAATGGCCATCAAAGCTCCCATTCCCGGTCACATTTTCCGGCGAGTTGGGTTCGAATTCGACGAAATCGAAGCTAATCGACCTTGAGATTTCCACTACTGGATTTCAGGTATCGATCTCATACTACTCTGTATCTGAACTTTAAGCTTGGAATCGAGGTTTTCAACCTCTGTATACCAGTGCATGCATTCTTAGTTTTTCCGGCGACCAACTCCGGAAGAAATCCGTGAGTTCGAATCTTAATGGGTTGAACTAAAAAGAGTTTCCTGAGTTTTATGATGAAAATTTGTGGTAGAAATCTCCAGAAAACCCAACGCTTTAAATTTGACTTTACGTAATTCCCTGAACTTTTTCTGGTGTTTCTGGCGGGAATTGGGATGCTGATTCGCAGAAAATGTGACTGATTCGAATCAGTGTAATTTTTTGGAAAAAAAAAAAACAGCAATTTCAGGGGAGCTCCGGCACAGCCAAGGGCCGTTGCCGTTAAAGCTACGGCGGCTACAGCGACGTCCGTCAGATTTATGGAATCTCCACGTATATTCCGTCAACTCTATCTGAGTCCAGTGACAGGCGCGTGGGCACTGCGACGGCGACAACAACCTGTACTCACCTGCGACGGCGACGACAGCGGTGCATCCATCAGCACGTGACGGCACGTGTGGCGGCGCGTGGAGGACCCGAAGCCTACTCAAGATTTTTGGAGGTCCGAATCGCGTGGTGCTGTCCGCTTAGGCTAATTCAAAGTCGTTAATCACGTTTAGGTGTTGGAATTTATGAAATGTTAGAATATGCTTAGTAAAGCAAAGTGTTACTTTATAGGTGCAATTATAAAGG